AAATGACAATTGTGGATTTTAAGAATGAAACAGATTTTTATTTTAGCGGTTGTTCACGAAATAATCCATGCAAGCAAAGGATTTATTAGAATGTTTGAGCTTTATCTAACCAGGAGTAAAAAAGAACAGCCACAAACACAGCTTTACCCAACTTCGCTTCAGTTTTTTTAATGATAGTATTTGTCCTATTAGAATCGAAATAATTCATGGAAGCCATAGATTGTTGGAAATTTACACATGGCCTAGCTAAGACTCAGGATAAAATTCGAATATCACAGCCCAGGCCATGTGTAAATTTCCAATAATCTATGGCTTCCATGAATTATTTCTGAATTTACACATGGCCTGGGCCGTGATATTCAAATTTTATCCTGAGTGTTAGCTAGGCCATGTGAAAATTTCCAACAATCTATGGCTTCCATGAATTATTTCGATTCTAATAGGACAAATACAATCATTAAAAAAACTGAAGCGAGGGTGGGTTTTCTGTGTGTTTGGCTGTTCATTTTTACTCCCCGTTAGATAAAGCTCAAACATTCTTATAAATGTGTAGCTTGCATGGATTATTTCTTGAGCAACCGCTAGAAAAAAATTTGTTTTATTCTTTAATTCTCAAAACCAGCAATTGCCATTTTAATTTACATGTTTTTCTCGGAAGCTGCCGTTACTGAATGCAAAGTTGACATTTCGTAACTAAGGAGCCGTCATGTTGACTTGTTGAAATCAGTAAATATGCAAATAATGCAATACAAAAGAAAATTAAACGAAACCTACCTTGAAAATCAATTTTAATACAACAGTATACGACATTTGTATGACGTCATGTTTTGAAATGAATTAAATGTGCCAAAAACATTAATAGACTTTCGCACAATTTTATTTTATTTTTATTTTGTTGATTTCTATGAGCTCTTGTGCATAACTTCTATTTATTATGCATCTGAATAAGAATAAAATTGATTTTGCCTTTTTTTAATTGCAATTTTTCAAACAGTAAATTCGGCAAAGGGTTTGTAAATAGGTTTCAATACATGTGGATTTACGCGGGAAGTATATCGTAACAGCCATTATAATGTACATTTCTGAGTCTGCGCTAAGTATAGATATATCGAAAATTTTATCACAGTGTTGTTTACAAAGGGAAAGAAGCATGTCATATTAGAATATAGGATTAACTACTGAGAACAGATTTCTGACACCTTATTGTTGAAAACATAACTTCAAATAGGTTTAATCAATGAAAAATTATTATCATTAAAGGAAACAGAACAAAAATAAGATCTAAAAAACAAATTTTACAAGTAATGGAAACTTTTTAGGAGAGTTATAAATGGGATACAGACAATGTGAAATTACCTTTACTGGATACAACTTTGTTATTTTCTTTTTGGACTCTTTTCAGGGCTTGTACAAATCTATAAAGCATTTTAAGTAGTGCCCAGTGCACTCCCGATTTTTTTTAAAATGTATTATCATAATTCATATATAGTAATGTAGTATTTGTGTTAAAAAGGGCGACTATCATTACTGAAGATTTTTCAAATTATTAAATTATCTTTCCTGAAGAAAAGTGATATGTCTTTTCAGAAGAAAGTTTATATATCTTGTTTAAAGTTTAAAACTTTAACTTTTAGTTATATTGAACATTTTAAAAATTTGTAAATTTATGAAATGAGTCAACACAATGTAAAAAAAAATTATGTAAGTTTTGTTGTTCAAAATATACTTATTTTGATTTGAAAATCTTTCAAAAAGAAGATAGTTTATACAGAAACAGAGAGATTCAAGGGAAACTGGAAAATAAGTAGATTGGGCATTTCTTTAGAAAAAATACAGATAAAAGGTGATATATAAAAAAGAAAATGTGGTATAATTGCCAATGAGACAACTACCCACAAAAAGACCAAAATGACACAACATTAACAACTATAGGTCACCGTACGGCCTTCAACAATGAGCAAAGCCCATACCGCAAAGTCAGCTATATAGTCAGATATAGTTCATTTTGTGATTCTGACAAAAAGTATATGAATCATCAAACGAACAAAAAACAAGAGTGTAGACTTGAGTTGGATTTTCCAGGAATAAATAAATTAATATGCACTGTTAAATCGTATAATCTAATTAATTGCAGATACAGTATTGGAGTCCAAAATTGTGATGAATTAATAATATTCCTACCTTGGATAAATTACCACCCATGTTTTACCTAATTTATATCCTCTTAATCTCTAGATTTTAAGACTAAATTAAAACTGGTCAGTAAAATTATTTTGAAAGCAGTAATTTCTAAGGGTCAGTCCAAAAGGGGAAACAAACAATATTTTAATTTTGGCCTTTGATCCATAGAGACAAAAATGTTACGACATCACTGAAAGAAGCCAAAGCAATCAACATTATTGTCGAGCCTTCAACTTTAGTCGAAAAAGCGAGACTAAGCGATCCTACATTCCGTCGGCGGCGGCGGCGGCGTCAACAAATATTCACTCTGTGGTTAAAGTTTTTGAAAATTTAATAACTTTCTTAAACTATACTGGATTTCTACCAAACTTGGACAGAAGCTTGTTTATGATCATAAGATAGTATCCAGAAGTAAATTTTGTAAAAATAAAATTCTATTTTTTCTGTATTTTATTTATAAATGGACTTAGTTTTTCTGCGGGGAAACATAACATTCACTCTGTGGTTAAAGTTTTTAAAATTTGAATGTCTTTCTTAAATTACACTGAATTTCTACCAAACTTGGACAGAAGCTTGTTTATGATCATAAGATAGTATCCAGAAGTAAAGTTTGCAAAAATAAAATTCCATTTTTTCTGTTTTTTACTTATAAATGGACTTAGTTTTTCTGCGGGGAAACATAACATTCACTCTATGGTTCAAGTTTTAAAAATTTTAATAACTTTCTTTAACTATTCTGGGTTTGTGCCAAACTTGGACAGAAGCTTGTTTATGATCATAAGATAGTATCCAGATGTAAATTTTGTTGTAAAAAAATAAATCCATTTTTTAGCTCACCTGACCTGAAAGGTCAAGTGAGCTTTTCTCATCACTTTGCGTCCGTCGTCCGTCGTCCTGCGTCCGTCGTCCGTAAACTTTTACAAAAATCTTCTCCTCTGAAACTACTGGGCCAAATTTGACCAAACTTGGCCACAATCATCATTGGGGTATCTAGTTTAAAAAATGTGTCCGGTGACCCGGCCAACCAACCAAGATGGCCGCCATGGCTAAAAATAGAACATAGGGGTAAAATGTAGATTTTGGCATATATCTCTGAAACCAAAGCATTTAGAGCAAATCTGACATGGGGTAAAATTGTTTATCAGGTCAAGATCTATCTGCCCTGAAATTTTCAGATGAATCGGACAACCCGTTGTTGGGTTGCTGCCCCTGAATTGGTAATTTTAAGGAAATTTTGCCGTTTTTGGTTATTATCTTGAATATTATTATAGATAGAGATAAACTGTAAACAGCAATAATGTTCAGCAAAGTAAGATCTACAAATAAGTCAACATGACCAAAATGGTCAGTTGACCCCTTAAGGAGTTATTGCCCTTTATAGTCAATTTTTAACCATTTTTCGTAAATTTTTGTAATTTTTTACAAAAATCTTCTCCTCTGAAACTACTAAGACAAATTTAACCAAACTTGTCCACAATCATCATTAGGGTATCTAGTTTACAAAATGTGTCCGATGACCCCGCTCGCGAACCAAGATGGCCGACATGGCTAAAAAATAGTACATAGGGTAAAATGCAGTTTTTGGCTCATATCTCTGAAACCAAAGCATTTAGAGCAAATCTGATGAGGATAAAATTGTTCATTAGGTCAAGATCTATCTGCCCTGAAATTTTCAGACCAATCAGGCAACACGTTGTTGGGTTGCTGCCCCTGAATTGGTAATTTTAAGAAAATTTTGCAGCTTTTGGTTATCTTGAATATTATTATAGATAGAGATAAACTGTTAACAGCAATAATGTACAGCAAAGTTAGATCTACAAATAAGGCAACATGACCAAAATTGTCAATTGACCCCTTAAGGAGTTATTGCCCTTTATAGTCAATTTTTTACAATTTTCATAAATTTTGTAAATTTTTGTAAATTTTTACAAAGTATTTTCCACTGTAATTACCGGGCCAAGTTCATTATAGATAGAGATAGTAGTAAGGAGCAAGAATGTTCAGTAAAGTAAGATCTACAAACACATCACCATCACCCAAACACAATTTTGTCATGAATCCATCTGTGTCCTTTGTTTAATATGCACATAGACCAAGGTGAGCGACACAGGCTCTTTAGAGCCTCTAGTTTTACGTATTATACTTTTAAATGGACTTAGGTTTTCTGCCAGGAAACAACACATTCACTCTGTGGTTAAATGTTTAAAAAATTTAATAACTTTCTTATACTATTTTAAATTTGTACCAAACTTGGATAGATGCTTGTTTATGATCAAAAGCTAGTATCTAGAAAGCAAATTTTGTTAATATTTGGTACCTGTGTATCTGTATTTTACTTATAAATGGACTTAGTTTTTCTTCAAAAACAAAACATACAGTCTGCAAGTTTTTAAAACATTTATTCGATTCATAAACTATCCTGAAATTTTTACCAAACTTGGACAGAAGCTACTTACAATCAAAAGATAGTTTTCCTCATTTTTGTTGAGCCTCGGAGTTACAGCAAAAGTAGGCGAGACACTGGGTTCCGCGGAACCCTTACAAATTTTTAGTTCTACTGGCTTTCAAAATTGGAATGGCTTTCAAAATTTGGAATACAGGTTTGGCAGGGTTTTATCTATTGTCCATTAATGCCATATTCTGGCTTGATATAAATTATGAGCCTGGTACCTTTGATGTGTATTTAGCTTTAGTTTTCAGGTCCAGGTGAATTGATTTCTGCTCTAAGAGCCTTGGATGTGTTTAAAGTCAATTTCTCATTATCTCCAATATGCTATAATAGATTGACACATGATTGATATAAATATATTTAATTTCAGAATTACTAAAGAAGAAAAAAATGGTGGAAACATCAAAATTATTTCTTCAAGATCTTGATTGGGCGATGAAGATGAAATCATCCGTCATTGACCCAATAACTGCAATGGATAGTCAATTGCAAGCGTCAGAATCTTTAGATAGTACATTGAAAAAATCAGTCACCGTTAACACCATCACTGCAATGGATAGTCAATTGCAAGCGTCAGAAACTTTAGATAGTACATTGAAAAAACCAGTCACTGTTAACACCATCACTGCAATGGATAGTCAATTGCAAGCGTCAGAAACTTTAGATAGTACATTGAAAAAACCAGTCACCGTTAACACCATCACTGCAATGGATAGTCAATTGCAAGCGTCAGAAACTTTAGATAGTACATTGAAAAACTCAGTCACCGTTAACACCATCACTGCAATGGATAGTCAATTGCAAGCGTCAGAAACTTTAGATAGTACATTGAAAAAATCAGTCACCGTTAACACCATCACTGCAATGGATAGTCAATTGCAAGCGTCAGAAACTTTAGATAGTACATTGAAAAAATCAGTCACCGTTAACACCATCACTACAATGGATAGTCAATTGCAAGCGTCAGAATCTTTAGATAGTACATTGAAAAAACCAGTCACCGTTAACACCATCACTGCAATGGATAGTCAATTGCAAGCGTCAGAATCTTCCGATAGTACATTGAAAAAATCAGTCACCGTTAACACCATCACTGCAATGGATAGTCAATTGCAAGCGTCAGAAACTTTAGATAGTACATTGAAAAAATCATTCACTGTTAACACCATCACTGCAATGGATAGTCAATTGCAAGCGTCAGAATCTTTAGATAGTACATTGAAAAAATCAGTCACCGTTAACACCATCACTGCAATGGATAGTCAATTGCAAGCATCAGAAACTTTAGATAATACATTGAAAAAAACAGTCATCGTTAACACCATCACTGCAATGGATAGTCAATTGCAAGCGTCAGAATCTTGAGATAGTACATTGAAAAAATCAGTCACCGTTAACACCATCACTGCAATGGATAGTCATTTGTAAGCGTCAGAAACTTTAGATAGTACATTGAAAAAACCAGTCACCGTTAACACCATCACTGCAATGGATAGTCAATTGCAAGCGTCAGAATCTTTAGATTGTACATTGAAAATATCAGTCACCGTTAACACCATCACTGCAATGGATAGTCAATTGCAAGCGTCAGAATCTTTAGATAGTACATTGAAAAAATCAGTCACTGTTAACAGCATCACTTCAATGGATAGTCAATTGCAAGCGTCAGAATCTTTAGATTGTACATTGAAAAAATCAGTCACCGTTAACACCATCACTGCAATGGATAGTCAATTGCAAGCGTCAGAATCTTTAGATAGTACATTGAAAAAATCAGTCACTGTTAACAGCATCACTTCAATGGATAGTCAATTGCAAGCGTCAGAAACTTTAGATAGTACATTGAAAAAAACAGTCACTGTTAACACCATCACTTCAATGGATAGTAAATTGCAAGTGTCAGAAACTTTAGATAGTACATTGAAAAAATCAGTCACCGTTAACACCATCACTGCAATGGATAGTCCTGCGCCAGAAACTGCAGATAGTTCAAAGCTAGAATCTTTAGATAGTACATTGAAAAAATCAGTCACCGTTAACACCATCACTGCAATGGATAGTCAATTGCAAGCGTCATAATCTTTAGATAGTACATTGAAAAACTCAGTCACCGTTAACACCATCACTGCAATGGATAGTCAATTGTAAGCGTCAGAAACTTTAGATAGTACATTGAAAAAACAGTCACTGTTAACACCATCACTTCAATGGATAGTCAATTACAAGTGTCAGAAACTTTAGATAGTACATTGAAAAAATCAGTCACCGTTAACACCATCACTGCAATGGATAGTCTTGCGCCAGATAGTTCAAAGGAGAAATCAGTCAAACTACAGAACCTTCAAATAGTACAAAAGATCTGTCTGGCATGAATGAGTACAGAGATCCTGTATATATTTCATTGGATTCTGGATTGTTTGCAGTGCAAGAAATTAAGAAGGGAGATGAAGTTATTATATCAATTACCCCAGTAACCATAAAAACTGGCAATGATCAACAGACTGTAAATAAAGATGAAGTTATATATGTAGCTGAGCGCTTGGGGTGTTCAACTCAACAAGAAATGAACAGTACAATTCAACAAAAGTTGGACAGCCCCATTGAAATAACACAAGGATTCGATTTTGATGATGAAGACCTTGATGAGCAGCATGATAAAAATGATCCTGATTATGTCCCGTCTTCAGAAGAACAATTATCAGACAAATCCTTAGAAGATGAATTTATTCATAGTCTAAACAAGATACATAATGATGAGGATTGTGTTGCCAGAGACTCAGATACTAGTATGGAAGATGAACATGGGGAAGCATCTAACATCCTACATTGGCCTGCCTTGGAAAAAAAGTCACCTAACAGTATACAAGAAAACAAGGTTATCAGAGATGTAAGCAACCCTGGCAGTTATGTACGAAAGGTACAAAAAAGTAAAAAGGCAAGTAAGGCTCAGATGAAGTCTAAAAAAGCTGAGAATGAAAGAGTATATGATAATTTTCACAGCTGTCTATTTTGTGGAGGTATGAGACAACACATAAGCTCACACATGTATGTGCACAAAAACATACCTAAAGTGAAAGAAATACTGGCAAAAGAAAAAAAAGATTTTTCAAAACTCCGAAAACAAGGTGACAATAAGCACAATAAAAAGGTGGTTGAAGAAGGAAAAGGGGAGCTTATTCTTTCAAGGAGACCAGAATCAAATGCTGTGGTATTTGATAGTAGTCAATATGGGCCGTGCATTAATTGTTATGAATGGTTACTGTTTAAAAACATGAAAAGACATTTAGAGGCCTGTACAATGCAAACTGTGACAATGAGTAGAAGACAGATTGTAATTATGTCTCAAGTGGAAGCAGGGGTTTTAAGCACTAAACCCTCAAATCTCATGCTCAATGAGGTTTTCCCAAGCATGATAATTGACAAAGTTTCAGAAGTTGCCAAAAAAGATGAAACTATTGTTGCATTAGGGGAAAGCTGGTTAAGACGATCTATTGATAATCGGGAAAAAAGACGCTATTATACCTCACAACATATGAGGCTGATGGGAAAGATGTTGCTTGAACTTCGCTCACTAGAAGGTGAAGATGAGAAAGACTTTGAATATTACCTTCATCCCAGTAGATTTGACATGCTTGTAGGAGCTGCTTTACAATGCTGTCTCCCATACATGGATGACATGGAGGAGCTAAAAGCTCCAAGTAATGGTATAAAGATAAAATATGATTTACGAAGAATGATAACCGCTAGATGGGCAATTACAGTTAAGAAAGATGTTCACTCATTATGTGCGAAAGAATTAAAGACTTGCCTAGAATTGATAAAAATGGAGTGGGGTGAGAGAATAACAAAGTTGGCTAGATCAGTACTGGTTAGAAGAAGTTTTCAAGTAAAGCATGATCTTCCGTCCCCAGAAGATATAAGAAAACTTACCAGCTATTTAATAGGATGTCTTAAGGCTGTGGACCTTAAGGAGGAAAACTACAGCAGAATTGTTCAGCTTTCCCAGACCAGAATACTCATGTATAACAAAAGAAGAAGTGGTGAAGTTGATGCCATCAGGTTAGTTTTTGAAAAAAAGAAAAAAATAACTTGGGGGGGGGATTTGTGTTTAGTATGAAAAATGGTTGAAGTCCGTACCCACTTTCTGATAAGTCCTACTTCAGGTAAATTTGTATTTATGATGCAGCTAGTATAGTTCAGGGATGCCAACCATAATGCATGCTTGGGGTTCGGGGTGTGACCTACATGTATATTTCACTGTTGATAGGCTGTCAAGTCCATTAGCTCTTAAAGATAAGTCCCAATTCAATTAATTATTTAAAGATGCTTAAATGATGCAGGCTGAAACTTTTATTTAATGAACCCTATTATTTTCAACACTGTTTGAGTTTTCATTTTATCGTACTTTTGTAAACCTGAAGATATAAAGGTGGTCTAACTAGTTGAGTTAGGGAAGATCTTCTTTTGCTCAATTGGTTATAGCTCAGCCTTTAGATCCCGAGATTGAGGGTTCGAATCTCGCTGGTACCATCCATGGATTTTCACAACAGTACTCATAATAATTGTGTTGCATACCAATGCATTTACTGCATTTTATGGGGACTAAAACCATCGTTAAAAAACACAAATACATTTGGTGTAGAAAGTCCAACTGAAGAGAGTATTTCTACATGTTTTTGTTTGTTTAGTTTCTAAATCCGCAATTAAGAGACATTTATTTCAGGATTTCAAAAATAATGTACACTTTCTCATACCTGTGTATACATGATACATTGTATAAGCTTATTATTACACTTGCATATATATATATATGAAGAACTCGCCACAAAATGGTTTCATATGAAATAAAATTTAAAAAATTAAACCCTCCCACCTGCCCCATTTTTTTCAAAAATTTGGATGAAAATCTACTAATTAATTTTAGTTGGCCTTACCTACATGACCTAATGTATAGTAAAAAAAAATGACATCAGATCATTAAAAAAAATAATCCATAGCCCCCCACACCCTGAAAATCAAATGTTTGCTGGCTTATATAAAACAAACGTGTTTGGAAAATGTGCTTTTTTTTAATTAAAACTAATTAATCATTCTTTTATAGTCTCAACAGTTATGCCAGCAAGACAAAAGATATTGATGATTTGGACGAATCTCTTGTTGGAGAACTAAGCAAAGTGGAACTTCATCTTTTAAAAAGTCAGGACTTAATGAAAGTCCGGGGAAAGGTGAGGCCTCAGCTTAATTATTTTTTTCGAGTCTTCGCATTTAGTCGAAAAAGAGAGACTTAGTGATCCTTCATTCAGTCAGCGGCAGCGTCCACAAATATTCACTCTGTGGTTAAAGTTTTTGAAATTTTGATAACTTTCTTAAACTATGCTAGATTTCTACCAAACTTGGACAGAAGCTTGTTTATGATCATAAGATAGTATCCAGAAGAAAATTTTGTAAAAAAATTAATCTACTTTTTCTGTATTTTACTTTTAGATGGACTTAGATTTTCTGCCAGGAAACAACACATTTACTCTGTGGTTAACAATGGTTAAATTATGCTATTTTAAATTTGTACCAAACTTTAACAGAAGCTTGTAATGATCAAAAGCTAGTATCTAGAAGGAAATTTTGTTAATATTTTGTACCTGTGTAACTGTATTTTACTTATAAAAAGACTTATATAAAAAAGAAGATGTGGTCTGATTGCCAATGAGACAACTATCCAAAAAAGACCAAAATGACACAAACATTAACAATTATAGGTCACCGTATGGCCTTCAACAATGAGCAAAGCCCATACCGCATATAGTCAGCTATAAAAGGCCCCGATAAGACAATGTAAAACAATTCAAACGAGAAAACTAACGGCCTTATTTATGTAAAAAAAATGAACGAAAAACAAATATGTAACACATAAACAAACGACAACCACTGAATTACAGGCTCCTGACTTGGGACAGGCACATACATAAATAATTTTATTAGTTTTTCTTCCAGTTAACATTACATACAGTCTGCAGTTAAAGTTTTTTAAACATTCATTAGATTCATAAACTATCCTGGTTTTTATCCAAACTTGGACAAGCTTTTTACAATCAAAAGATAGTTCAAGAGGAATATTTTTATTGATTTTTTTCCTCATTTTTGTTTAGCCTGCGATTTACAGCAAAAGTAGGCAAGACACTGGGTTCCACAGAACACTTAGGAATTTTTTTCCCAAAAAGTTCAGCAAAAAATGTTTTTCATGTTGATTGTTCCAAAAAGTTTATTTCCTTTAGGTATGCAACAGTAACATTTGTGGCAACACAAGGTCACTTAAATTGTTGATTACAGCTATCGTTCTAGTTTTTAGCTCACCTGGCTAAGGCCAGTAATGGCCATGTAAGCTTATTTAAATGCTTAATATTTAAATTTGCTGTATTTATATTCACACCTGTCAGATTTCAGGTGCCCAGGTGAGTGATTCAGTGTTATTTGAAATTTGGTTTATCAAGTTAACATGACATTGTGATAATGATTTGAATGACCAAAGTTTATTCATCTCTTGAGAGTTTTATTTAATCAAAACAATATAAAAGTTGGAGTTATTGAAACTGTACTCACATTTATATATATGATATAAGAAACATTTATATTTCTATAGGGTAACCGCCCAGTACCTGTATTGATACCTGCTGACCTAAAGGGACCACTTGATTTCCTAGCTTCGAGTTCTGTTAGAAAACAAGCAGGAATTCCAGAAGCTAATTGCTACCTTTTTCCTGTTGTATCTAAAAAATCTGGTAATTATTATTAAAGACTAAATATTAAAGGGGCTTGTTGTTCCAGTCACCTGCAAAACCCTAGTTCATAATTCACCTTTAGCAGTAAACTTTATTTAGGCTTATCTAGAAGAGAAAAAAAAAATTAACTAGCCTCATGACATTCATAGTCAAGAAGACTGTTCATACTGTTATGGCAAAATTCTATTGAGTGCTGAGGGGTTAAACTTAAGTACTGCTTTTTTTTGCAAATTTCTTTTAAATCATTAGATTTATTATTGTAGTTTAAAAAAAATATTTCTTAAACGTTTCAGTCATTGGCCTTCTTCATTTCGCTTTATTTTTTTATCATCGATAGTCACCGTCAGCTGAAATTCGTAGCGGTTATCTGTAAAAATAATCTGAACTATCAATCGCGTTCACTTGAGATATAGTTTTTCACATTCCATTCATAAATCACCAAAAAAAACCCCACTTCTGACCTACCTTTTAATTGATTGCACTGTGATAATCCTGACCTTCACATTTTACAAGATGATTTTGAATGGTGGAATCCACCATTGTTTTTACCGGAAGTGTTTCCGTGGAGTTCAATTTCATCAAATTTGCATAAAGCGCGGGAAACCTAATCACATCAATGAAAAGAACATTTAAGGAAAATGCGTAAGTGACGATTGTCATATGTAAACAAATGATCCTCATAGAAACCAAGATGACGGAATTACAATGGAAAACATTTTGAAAAATGTGAAGGTCAGAATTATTACAGTGCGATCACTTAAAAGGTAGCTGCCCTGTTGACTTACAAAAATGAGTAAATATACGAATAATGCAACTGAAATTGAATAGAAAATAAAATAAAACCCTACCTCAAAAATCAGTTTTAATACAATATCATACAAATTCCGATGGTTCACGTAAAAGAAAACTTTCCACTTAAGCGTTTTCATTTGTATGATGTCATGTTTTGAAATGACTTAAATGTGCCAAAAAGATTAAGGGACTTTCGCGGAATGTTACTTAATTTTTATTTTCTTGATTTCTCCGACCCCTTGTGCATGACTTCTTTTTACTATGCATACGAATAAGAATAAAAGTTATTTTGTCTTTTTTTAATTGCACTTTTTAAAACAATAAAATTGGCAAAGGGTCTGCAAATAGGGTCCAATACATGTAGATTTACATGGGAAGTATATTATAACAGCCATTATTATGTATATCTCTGAGTCTGGGCTAAGTATATTTTATCAAGAATTTTATCACAGTGTTGTTTACAAAGCTAAAGAAGCATGTCATAATAAAATTAGTTTTTATTTAATTTACTTTAAAGTAATTCAGTTTTTATGTCTATTCCAAATGGTCTGGTTGTATTCAATCTTTCCATCCATCATGCTTCAATATGTCTCCTATAATTTGTAGATCTTTCATAAATTTGTTCCAGGACAGTCATGTCCTGTTGGCAGTGGTCTTTTTCATTAAAATGTTCTGCCACTACTTATCCCTGTTATGCTTAATGTCAGCTAAATATTCCTTGATCCTATTATTTAAAGTCCTTTTGGTTTCTCCTATATAAACATGACAGTCGCATTTTTTACAGTGTAATCATTAGATTTAGCCAAAATCTGACAATGTAAAAATGTTCAGTATACTGGTATACAAATTTTCGTGAAAATCTGTTGGCGTTTATTGGAGTTACTTCCCTATTTCACAAATTTTTGACATTTTCCATGTTATAAAATAAAAACTTGAATGCCTACAAAAGTATCAAACCAAAATTAGCACAATTGTTCCTCAAGGTATCCTCAACAAAAGTACTGTGGGGATTTTTGATCTGATGAAAAACATGACCACCATTACTAAAAAATATAACTTGGGAGCCAAAAATAAAGTTTTGCTCATTATTTCATACTCTATTGTATAGAATTAAACATGAAAGGTATTTAAATGTGAAATTCTAATATGACGTCCTTATTACACTTTGTAAACAAAGCCGTGTTCTAATGAGCACAAAAAATATGTTTGACACATGCGCACGGACTTACTGTTTATATTAACGTTATTTCCATCGTTATCCTTTTAAATGTTTAAATTTAAGAACTTTTATTATATATTTTTATCAAACAACATATATTTGCTCTGCTCGTAGTTTTTAACATATCAAATATGAAATGTAATATACAGACTCCTCGGGGAGGACACGGGAACAGCCAAACATTCTTACGGTATTTTCATACGCTTCGACCTTTAAATATATTGTATTTGTCATATTAGAATCGAAATAATTCCTTCATGTCATGCTCTATGCTCATTTTAACATGGGTAGGCATTATATTTGACCACATTTTACACCTCGCTTACGCTCAGTGTAAAATATCGACAAATATAATGCCTACCCATGTTAAAATGAGCATAGAGCATGACATGAAGGAATTATTTCTTAAATGATATTTTGAGTTGAATTGTGCTAATGAAATAATTTGGCGGCGCATTTCAAAATTGTTGCCATTTTACAGCAGAGTTTCAACTTGGTTTGATTTCAATGAAATTGGGATTAACTTTAAATAGGACCATCGTATGCTGGGTTGATATAGTTTCATCATTCTATGCTCACATGACATGTCCTTTTAACCTTTCTATCTATTTGCAGGATTAAACCCAGCTAGATCTTATGAATCATTAAAGAAGACTTGTACAGAATGCTCTCTTGCTGCCCCTAACCGAATAACAAGCGTTTCCATGAGGAAGTACACTGCTACTCTCACTCAGGTAGGTATATGTTGTGTACAAGTTATCATTTTGTACAAATTATAATTTGTACAAAAATATTGTACAAAATAATAATTTGTATTTTGACTTTGTACGAATTGTAAATTTTACAAAATGTGCTTGTACAAATTAAAATTTGTACAAAATAGGACAAAAATTCACTTATAACTTGTACAATAATTTTTCATATGGATTTTGGCGAAAAAAGCATTGATACACATTATTGAATTGCTACTAAATGACCAGACAGTACACCTACAATGTGTAAGTTACAAAATTTAAAAGTAGTTCTTTATCATTCGTTTGATCAGGTGATCTGGTGATTTATGGAATCAGGTATTGCACACTTATCTTTCATACCTGTCAACTGACCCGTATTCAGCGGGTGTGACCTGAGATTTTCACAATTCTGAGGGATCACCCGGGACACCCGCCGGATCATTGAAATGACACGGGAATTCCAAAAATGACCCGATTTCACCTGTATTTCTTAGCCTTGAGATTGATTTCATAAGTAATATTCCTTTGAAATAGCGGCAAATTCGTAATTCTTCCATGAACAGGAAGTTCATCTAGCTATGTAAACTGTCAAATTAGGTGACCCATTAAGTGCATGGCTTCACTTGACAGCTTTGGTGTCAAACACACTGTTAATTAACACCAATTACCAAGCTTTAGGTCGTAAAAAAATTGCACTATTGGTTTACAAACATATTAAAAGTAGTGTAGTTACTTCCCCTTATTTGTCACCATTCAAAATTATTCCTTATATTTCCGTTTTATGGTTGAAAAGATTAAATCATAAAAATATAAAATCTAAATACATATTGAAAAATAACTTTTCATTATTTTTATACCTTTATACAATTTTTAAAAAAAAGTTGAAAATTATTTTTTATATTTATACTTCCTTTAACTGTATTACTATATTTTATCATAGTCTAATTTCCTTGTAAATTGAAAGATTGTATATATTAAGGCTACTAAGCCAGTAGTCTCAAACTTGTTAAAATTACAGTTGAAAAATAACCTCTAGTATTAGATCACCACAAAAAGTAAAAGACATGAGACTGTGTTACACAAATTTATAAAAATCTTTAAAAGTGCAATGAAATAATAATTAATAGGATTTAAAATGACTTAAACAAGTGAACATGCATTGATGTTTTGGTGTCTTCGATATACATTATAAGAAAATGTACCATAAATACTGAAATTCAGCTCAAAAAAGTTTGTACGCGTTATGACCTGAGATTTGATTCTTCAATGCAGGTCATGACCTGCATTTTCATCGTCGCAGGTTGACAGGTATGCATCTTTAGACTCTCAAATCAATAACAACCTGTTTTACAGGCATTTTAACTGTTTCATATAGCGAGCGTTGAAGCTCAGGAACCGTTGCTGTGAATAAATATGTGTATTTAACTGCTTCAGTCAGACTTTTAGACAAAATAAATATCCCAGAAGATTAAACACCCATTTTGGTTAGGAATATGACTATGCTAAAGTCAGGAATATGTCAGTTGTTTTTTGCCTTTTTAGCTCATCTTTCCTAAAAGGAAAAGTGAGCTTTTGCCATCACTTGTCGTCCGTCGTCGTCCTTCGTCGTCGTCGTCGTAAACTATTTCAAAGATCTTCTCCTCTGAAACTACTGAACCAATTACAACCAAACTTTAGCTGAATGATCCTTAGGGTATCTAGAAAAAAGATTGTGTTTTATTTTCCATTTTGTGAAAAAACATGGCCGAGAAAATGATTTTTTTTGTTTTTGAAGAAAATAGGACGATTCAAAGAACATTTAAATAAATTGAAAAGCCAAAATAATCATTGATGAGAGATTTAACCAAAAAAATTAAGGTGAGCGATTCAGGCTCTTGAGAGCCTCTTGTTTTTATCAATGTTTTTTTTCCAACACAGATCTTTGTTTTATGACTGTACATAACACTTAACAGAAATCAGTTGAGACAATCTAAACTTTTTAAAAAAAAAATGTATGCAAACCAGACAGACGGACTTTTATTTTATAAGAAAACTAGTTGGTGTAGTATTATAAAATCATCAGACACCAATGGCATTGAACCATCAAAAGTGATGCGGAATAAGTCATGTAAATGCAATCTTTTGATGTACCAATTACAAATGTAAATTATCACTTGCTTAAAGAAAGATTTGATTGTTTTCATGGAATTTTAGATATAACAAATACGTGGCAACAAATCTTTTGAGATCCTTTTCACGATCATGAAAACACTGTACACGATCTTTCACGATACAAAATATGAAATTTTACAAATAAAATTGTTTGCAAAGTTTCTGAATAAAAAAAAATACCTCAAAATAACGATGAGAACTAATCCAGCAGTACTATTGAATGATATTTTTTTTTTTAAGAAAAAGACGTTTATGTATTAAGAATTTGAAAAAAATCCTATTTGTTTACTTTTATTTTCTCTCAAAAATTTCGAAGATCAACCTGCCTTTTGTAGTTGTGTATAAACAGTGTATTATGTAATAAGTTTGAGTGTGTGGTCAGTTAATTACAATTCTATCGTGTGAATCATTGCATTTTTCACCAAAATTCGTATTTAAAACTGTTGTACAAGTTATAAGTGAATTTTGGTCAAATTTTATACAAATTGTAATTTGTACAAGCACATTTTGTACAAATTATAATTTGTACAGTCAAAATACAAATTATAATTTGTACAATATTTTGTACAAATTAAAATTTGTATAAAATGATAACTTGTACACAACATTTGTACAAGGTTTTTGTACAAGTTATAAGTTTTTTTGATACATACCTTCTTACACCAGTTGATAAAAGTTTATCTTCTAAAATGTATCAGTTTAATGTCTTAAATTCAAATGTATATACATCAACCTTACATTTAGTGCTATTCTCTTTTTCCTCAAACTGGAAATGAGGATACCTGAATGGTTTTAATCTAAAGTTTATTTTTCACCGTATACCAAAATCATATCCATAAAAAGTCTTGTTTGTGTTCTTATAATGTGTGTGCATCAATGTTCAGTATTAAACTGTATCATTTTATTGTGGAGATCTGACAGAAATGTGCGAAACAAAAGACTGTGTGCTTGCATCATCAATGTGTGTTAGGATGTTCATAAAACACTGATAACTTGTACAAAAAAACAACATTACAACTTGTACACAACATATATACCTTTGAAAAAAAGAAAGAAAAAAAATAGGATTGCAAAATACTGGTGGCCCAGGTTGAAATTTAGTCCTGTGTCACTAAGTATTAAGTCACACTTTTATTTGCAACCACATGCTGCAAGTTCAAGATATTTTCTCCCTATGGGATTTTGTTGTAAAGAGATATTAACATATAAGTGTTTGATTTTCCAAAGAAACATGTATGATAAATAACCTAAAGAAGTCCAAACTGATTTAGACTTGAGTCAGTTGGTCCAATGACTGTATAGTATTGCTTTAAAGTTTGAAAGAAGTAACAATCGTTCTGATGGAAAACACATGATATTAATTCCAACTGATTGCTAATTTTTATGAATATTTTCTAGATGCTGAATCTTGATGGAAACCAGTTGGAATGGGTTTGTCGACACTTGGGACACAGTGCAAATGTACACAAGACCCACTATCGCCAGATGTCTGGTTTTATTGAAAGAGTTCATGTTTCTAAGTTAATGTTGGTGCAGGACATGAATCTGACAAAGAAATATGCTGGGAAGAAACTGGAAGACATTGACATAACAGGTAGTTATCTGCTTCTCATTGTATTCACAAAAGGTATAGAACTTAAGGGAGCGACCATTAGATTCATTGGGGGTGGGGAGGCATATATTGGATAAAAATATTCTGTTCCTTAAAACCTGTTACAGGTTGCATTTCTGTAAATATTGACAATGCAATTTCCCATAGGAACTCTTTTTACGGCTAAAACTACCACTTTTACTATGAAGTACTGATAAAGGTCCTTCTTTGTGTATAATTTTTAATTGGAAAAGTCGACAACTATTTAGTATCCTTACACATGAAAATAATTCCAGGTCTTACAGCTACATGTTTTCTGCTGATATATAGTCCATTTGATTTCTATAAATCTTCAGAAATTAATTCTTAAAAATTCATTTTTACTAATAAATATTTTTTTTCTTCATGTGTGTTAATGTATGATATATACGAACTCTGACTATGAAAATCATAATTTTGAACCAATTATCAAAAACGTTACTCATTAGGTCTCTATGGTTCAAAGGTCAATGTTTAGTTTTCTTGGTTTATGTTAAGTTTACGTGACAGTTGTAATAAAGCTTTATTATTAGGACTATCAACATAATGTCAATGATAAGTAAAGAAGGCGAGACATTTCAGTGTGTGCACTCTTGTTTTATTTGGTCGGGTTGTTGTCTCTTTGACACATTCGCCATTTCCATTTTCAATTTTATTTATTTTCCATTATATATGTGGCTCAGTAAAGTCCATACATAATGTGCTTATTTTTCCTATCAGAAAGAGTAATTATTTTCCATTTATTTGTGGCTCCGTCAAGTCCATGCATAAAGTAAAATTAAGAATGGAAATGGGGAATGTGTCAAAGAGACAACAACCCGACCAAATAAAAAAAAAACGGCAGAAGGTAACCAACAGGTCTTCAATGTAGCGAGAAATTCGCGCACCCGGAGGCGTCCTTCAGCTGGCCCCTAAATGTTTATTTGTTCAATCAGAAAGAGTTTATTTTCCATTATATAGGTGGCTCAGTAAAGTCTATACATAATGTGCTTATTTGTCCAATCAGAAAGAGTTTATTTTCCATTATATTTGTGGCTCCGTCAAGTCCATGCTTTAAGTGTTTATTTGTCCAATCAGAAAGAGTCTTTATTTTCTATTTTCCATTATATATGTGGCTCAGTAAAGTCCATACATAATGTGCTTGTTTGTCCTATCAGAAAGAGTCTTTATTTTCCATTATATATGTGGCTCAGTAAAGTCCTTGCATTAAGTGTTTATTTGTCCAATCAGAAAGAGTCTTTATTTTCCATTATATATGTGGCTTAGTAAAGTCCATACATAATGTGTTTATTTGTCCGAGTCTTTATTTTCCATTATATATGTGGTTCAGTAAAGTCCATACATAATGTGTTTATTTGTCCAATCAGAAAGAGTCTTTATTTTCCATTATATATGTGGCTCAGTAAAGTCCATACATAATGTGTTTACTTGTTCAATCAGAAAGAGCCTTTATTTTCCATTATGTATGTGGCTCAGTAAAGTCCATGCATAAAGTGTTTATTTGTCCAATCAGAAAGAGTCTTTATTTTCCATTATATATGTGGCTCATTTAAAGTCCATACATAATGTGTTTATTTGTCCAATCAGAAAGAGTCTTTATTTTCCATTATATATGTGGCTCAGTAAAGTCCATGCATAAAGTGTTTATTTGTCCAATCAGAAAGAGTCTTTATTTTCCATTATATATGTGACTCAGTAAAGTCCATCCATAATGTGCTTGTTTGTCCTATCAGAATTTTTCATTATATATGTGGCTTAGGCAAGTCCATACATAATGTGTTTATTTGTCCAATCAGAAAGAGTCTTTATTTTCCATTATATATGTGGCTCAGTAAAGTCCATACATAATGTGCTTATTTTTCCAATCAGAAAGAGTCTTTATTTTCCATAATTTATGTGGCTCAGTAAAGTCCATACATAATGTGCTTGTTTGTCCTATCAAAAAGAGTCTTTATTTTCCTTTTTATTTGTGGCTCCGTCAAGTCCATGCATACAGTGTTTATTTGTCCAATCAGAAGGAGTTTTTATTTTCCATTATATATGTGGCTCAGTCAAGTCCATACATAATGTGCTTATCTGTCAAATCAGAAAGAGTCTTTATTTTCCATTATATTTGTGGCTCCGTCAACACCATACAAGTGTTTATTTGTCCAATCAAAAAGAGTCATTATTTCCCTTTAGAAATGAGGCTTAGAAAGTGTTAAATTGTCAAAAAAAAATTTCAATAGATCTGCGACAATTTCCCCATGGGATCCGATTTCAAACCTGTCGGAAAAATTATGACTTTAAATATTTTTCAGCATTACTGTTGGGGGAAATTTTCGTAACATTTTAAAATCATGTGTTTATTTTTCCAAACATAGTTTTACTTTGCAAAAGCTATTGAATTGAGTCGAGTCTTATAAAATAATCTGTTTGCTATATATTCCTGTATATGCTTGTGCACCTCAAGGAAGTAGAGGGTGCTACTGTGAGTACGCCTGGGGTCTGTATCTACATCCAACCTTATGTCTGAGTTAATATCACAGCACTTGTGTATCTCAGCAACTACAAATGGAACACAGATGCATAAGGGATAGCCGGTCAGCTTCCTGGTGAAATTACTAGATAACTTCATTCTTTTCAAATCATCTATGCAATGCCATGTGAATGGATGTATAGATTCATGAGGGGTAGTAGGTAATTTCTCACTGAAAAAAAACATGATTGACAACATAGTATAAATATCTATAAAATACATTAAATGTCTTTAACTCTAAACCAAATCCAAAGTTATATACATTTTGGAATTTTCATTTTGTTAACAACATTTAAAAAATTCAGGAACGATATTGATCACATATTGTCCCTAATAATAAAAATATAACATTGGAAAATGTTATGACCCTCATCTACATTTCTTTAAAGACTCATTAGAGGACTTTAGATAGCCAAGCGTTTCAGATATTGAATGTTACACAGGAAGGCATGTAATACAATTGTAATGAAACAATCCAGGTTTGGACGGACATGCCATGGTAAACACCCTTAATTGTTTCTGGACATACATAGCAAGCCACATTAAGATTAAGAAACTAAACTCTTAACTCATGGACAGATAGCCACTAAAGTGCTGAATGTTAGAACATGTTATGTAGCCACAGAATATTTTCAGCCACATAAGTCATCAAAGCCACTTAATGCGAAGCCACATAAGTAGCGAATGTGGGTCCGTCCGTCCGTCTGTCCGTCCGTCCGTCCGTCCGTAACAAATTGTGTCCGCTCTATATCTAAAGAACCGTTATGATTTCAAAGTATATACTTGACATGTATATTAACCAACACCAGAGGGTGTTTCATAATGTATGTACAACTTCATAGGTCAAAGGTCAAGGTCAAAAACTTTGGTTTTAGTTGACAACCCCATGTCCTATGGTAAACATCGTGTCCGCTCTATATCTTGAGAACTGTTATGATTTCAAAATTTTTACTTGACATGTATATAAACCAACACCAGAGGGTGTGTCATAATTTATGTACAACTTCCTAGGTCAAAGGTCAAGGTCAAAAACTTTGGTTTTAGTTGCCAACCCCATGTCCAATGATAAAGATACAAATTTTTTACCACACATTATCCACAGCGGGGCCCACAGAGATGGCTCCCATCTCAATCAATGATATCTAGTTAAAACCTGTTATAGGAGGACAAAAAAATTAACAAAAAAAAATCCATTACACAACATTACTACGCACACACAAAAAAACCAAAGGAACAGTGCTTGCACTGCTATTTTCACCATAGTCACAAGTTGGCCTTAAACATGGCACAAAACTCTGACTCAACTGTCGATTCAAGACGGCTCGTCTATTTCCGGTTTGATGTGAGTAAAGCAAATACAATGAAAATTCACCATTTTACATCTTTGATGCAGTAAGTCTATTGTGTGTTACTTACCACATTTTTACTTCTGTTAATCTTAATAAATAAAAGATGTTTATTTTTGTCAGCTTTAATAAAAAAAAAATTAATACGAATGTTTTCATTTACTTTGAACAGTGCAATGTTTTCAAACTAAGAAGAGCAAAATAAAAGATAACCCAGGCGTGTTTTTTTTTCTCTCTCTCTAGTATATGACACATAATACAACACTACAAGTATGTCACTTTAATTCCTATCGTAAAACTGTGTAATAATTGATTACATAGCTGATCTGTTGTTTGTTTTGTCACGATTGTCATAAACGAACTAGACGAGTGTACGCTAAAATTAAGTAGTTTATATAACATTTTCATAAGGACCACCAAAGAGTATACGATACGGAAGATATTTAACATTGAATTTATTTTTTAAGTGATATATAAAACAGTTTGCTCTGAAATAAGAAGTCGTTTTTATAACAATTTTTTTAGGACCACCACCAACGAGCATACGATACAGAAAATATCTAACATAGATTTTTTCTTGAAACGTGAATATAAAGCAATTTTGATATGCATTCTCGATATATCAAAAGAAAAACATACCTACATATTTGTTAAGCTGAAATTGGTGATCCACCTTATAAAGTAACAAGACCGAGTCCGACTAAAAATGATAAAAACTCTTATTTTTTATTGTAACTCTAAAATTGTTAAACAAAAACCTTTTTCAAGCTGTCATAGATATTTTTTTTTTTATTGTAACCGGAAGCTGAACAGTATTGGAATATTTTTTTTTATAAAATATCCTATTTATTTTTCTGAACTTTACCATCTAAGGCAAACTTTTCCCGATGGAGATTCAACCTAGTAAGCTTATTGAGCACAACCATTTGTTCTCGAAATTTACAGACAAACAGCTTCATTTGAAATATGGCAATAACAGTACAGTAGATCTGCCTACTTGGGCTGGGGTTAATACGCAGTGGTTGACTTTCAGCCACCCCCTCCCCGGCCGCCCCCATAGGCAGTGCTGCTGTATTGTTAAAATAAAGCGCTTACGAGAAAAAAATGCTAATAGGTTATATTCATTTCAGTATTAGTTACGATCATTTTTAAGCCTCAGATTTTTAATTTAAAAAAGGCTTTGAAATCAAAACTTGTAAGCTCCTAAATATTAAACGTTGAAAAAAAATCAAAAGGGAACAGCCTTAATTATTTTTGAAATGGTTTGTAATAAGATAATGTACGTTCAGTGGTATTTTAAACAAAGCTCTGGTCCGCGAGTATATGGTGAATGGACAATGCAATCTCCGGCGCAGAGTTCATATCCGTTCCTTATATGCTTCGCAATACTTCACTTTACATTTATGCGGTAATTTTACGAAGTATGGAACGGAAGAGATATGAAATATGCACCAGAGATTGCGTGCAATGGTACTTGTATTTGACACCAACATTTTTCTTTGCGGTTTCTGTCGAGTACATTCATATGTTTATGACTAAAATATTACTTAAAGATGTAACACCTTAATTGCTAATAAATGTTCAGAATAGATACATAGTATTTTTCTTTTACAGGTAAACGTGTTCGAAGAAGCGAGGATGAAATAAATGTGTTTTTAATTTTGATGGTATTCTTTTTTTTTAAAATATCTTGGATCTAAATGTAAATTTTAACGAACTTGCATGCACTACTTTTATTTAAACGTCTGGTTGTGTATTTCTTGGTTTGTGTTAAGGATGTTCGCTCTTCTGTTTCAAAATAACAAGCCTTTTGAAAGACTGTTATACTTTGGTAGTTTATAAATAGCGGAACTAAAATGTAGGAAAAAAATTACAGGTTCGTATCCATGTTTTTAAGATATAATCAATTGAAAATTTGGCGGGAAACGTTTCTCTCTAGGTTTTTCATACATTTAACATTGACACCTTTTTTTCCTTTAAAACTATAAAAAAAAGAACAAGGATGTTATAGGATTTTCAAAAATGGCTTTGACAGCAATGTTATAAAATTATGAAAAGAAAGGTAGGGGCTAGTGGACAAAATGTTTAATGGCAATACATGGATAAAACCAGAGAATTCCGAATATCTTACAAAAATTCAAAAACAAGAGGAGCGAACATCCGTATTATATCGTAATTACACTTTTCCTTCGCCCAATATTTTTTTTTGAAATCGACACAGTTTCTTTCCCTATTCAATTTGAACCAAAAATTTTAAAAGGTAGAAATAAATACCATTTCCACCTTCTTATCAATTTTACAACAATCTTTACAAATCTGTTATAACAGCAAATATACTATGGAAAGAAGGAACAAATATAATGATTTAAATTTTATTTATTATCTGTTAAAACAAATATATTTGCAAAACGTCATACAGTTGGCTCTTTAATTTACAAAAGAAACTTTAATATCTGCCGATTCTTTGACAAGTGTCACTATCAGAGAAGGATCCGATTACATTTTCGGACTATCTGAGATAACTCCTAGTTTTAAGTAGGGTTCGTGTTGCTCAGTCTTTAGAGAGCCTCCTCGTGGGGTTTTTGATTATGTGATTTACTTGTTCTTATAGTAATTATTTGATTACCAGACTAAATATTTCATGCTAATTTGATTATTTGATAATCTAGGATTGTATTTTTTGATTATTTGATTATCTTGTTAAAAAAATAATTAATGATTATGTGATTATATTGGCAAAAATTTTGTGATTATGTGATTACTTGGACATCCCCATGAGGGGCCTCTTTAGTTTAGTGTAGTGTTTTGTGGACTGGTTTTTCGTGTCGTCGTCTTTCTTGTTTGCCATGGTTTTGTCAGTTTCTCTTCAACGTCTGAGTTTTCAATGTTCCCTTGGTATTTGCCGCCTCTTTATCTATCTACATGTTTACCCTTATCGTTTCACAAGCTAACCCATCAAATTAAAGGACATCGTATTCAACTATCTAAAGAAAAGACAAGAACGTTTAGAGAAAATAACAGTTGATTTCCACTCCATGAAAACCAGGAAGGAAATTACGTGCTTAGGAAGGTTAGACAAAATTGTATTGCAATAGAAAAAATATAAATAAACTTAACAGAGAGTATTAGAGATCTGCCATCAATATACAATTCCCTCAAGTATAAAATCATTAAGATACCCACGTGCTACTAACGTCAACCACTTATGAGGTTACTGACTTTGGATAGTCATACAATGTACCTTAACTTTATAAAAGTTACAATAAAAGCGTCAACATTTTTATTATTAGAGACATTTTAACACAAGCTGATAATCAAGATTTAAAACACAAAATTCACATATTTAATGACATGCTCCGCAAAAAAAACACAGCATACGATAAACATACTATTACATTCAACTATACATATTCTCGTTAGTTAATCAGCTCAGACATAGGAAATACACTGGCTTTCAAATGACAATCCATGAAAAAACAGATGGAACTATCCTTTCCTCCTTTTTGTGTAGTTGGTCACTTTACGTAGAACACAATAATTTTTTGGGTAGTTGATCACTTTACGTAGAACACAACAAATGTAGACAGTTAAAGACAGTTCATTATCATTTGCATATTATAAGCTATATTTTGTTTTCTGCATTTAAAAACATTTACAACATTCATAGGTTATATACCTTTTATTTTTTGTGGATGACCATAGTTTCGGAATTTTCATTTTTCCTTTAAACTTTCCGCCTCAAACAGCTAAATGTATACATTCACTTAATATAATATATATTTACATAATTATCCCATATATTCACGCGCCCATCAATCAAAGACCATATTTACATCCAATTTCACACTTCTATGTGTCTTTTGCTCTAAGTTTAAATTATATTCCTCACTTTATGTTGTCTTTGAAGTTTGAATTATTATCGTCACCTTGTTACACACGACCCTTTGAACAACATTCTTGTGTACTTTTATTTAATACTGAATTGGTAGTATCGCAGTAAACAAATTCAGGACATGCACTTTTATTTGTTACAAGCTTCCTTTTAATACTTTTTTGTCTATTTCCTCGTACGTGTCATTTTCCTCGTGAAAAGTAGAGAAGCCCGTATTTAAGAAGTTGTAATATGTCGAGCTATCACTGCTAGAATTGTCAATGATGTTTGAGTATTCTGGAGGGTGGACATTAGGGCGTGGAATTTTAAACCGGTGTTTCTGTTTCTGCTCTTCTGCTAGTTTCCTTTTCTTTGCTTCATCGAGGTTTCGTGCTCGATCTGAACTGTAGAAAAAAGAGCTATTAAGTTTTATGAAATGCATGTTGCTAGTAATCAGAACAACTCTCCGCTTTTAAAGATTGTACCAGCTGCGCTTTGGTGATTTCAAGACACTGTTCAGCATTATAGAATTCAATATGTATGACATTTACAGTTCTCATGCACTGAATTTAAGTTAAGATTAAACGAACGTATAATGTTGCACCAAGAATTTTTAAACATTAGAAGCTTAATTAAGAATCTTGATACATTTAAGGTAATGGAATTATATTAAAAAAAGACCAATGGTTCTTGGTAAACAATTCATAAAACTACTCGGAACACCAGACGTATAGGGGCCTATAAAAGAAAGGTCAAAGGTTCGCCTAAGCAGGTTTCAACCTTCACATTAAGTACAAAGCGTGAATTTCAAACTGAAATCAAAATGTATCACTTAATGTGAAATAAATATCAGCATGGATTTTTGTTCAGGTTATATGACCGGGACTTTTATAAAAACGAAACAATAACTTGTTATGAATTTTTTAAAAAGTTTTAAAAATGTATTATTGTTTTCAACAAACCATCGATCTTGATTCTAAAACAGGATGATTGTCAAATTATGTCCTGTTCATCAGTAAATTAAATTTCATGTGTCAATAACATAGTGCTTAGAAATATCATGAGACAAAACTTCCGGTAAGACAACTATCCACCAATGACCAAATGACGTTTGGGTAATGTATAGAAATGTGTAATTTTTTCTTTTTACTGTTTTAATTTTTTAGATATAAACATATTATTGGCAAATCTGTGTTTCCATATTACATATATTTTACACAATTTGCCGTTCAGAATCTAATGCATTCTGGGTAATATCTTAAAAACCATACACCATAACGCTGTGATTGGTTGTAAACGTACTAAACAATGGAAATTAAACCAATGACGTAACGTTATTTTCATTTCGGTGTAGAACAATGAGATTGCCAATAGTCCGTTAGAATCTACAATGGCGAATTTCAGATGGTATAGAGGAACACACAATTAAAACGCTTTCTTTATCCAAAGGAAGTAACTCTACAATAAACGTAAATTTTACGAATTCTACAAAAAAATAACACAAATAAACTCGCATGTATAATATAAACTTACCGCCGTTTACGTCTACAGATTAATACAATAATTGCAGCAATAACATTCACAAGAAAAACACCAACAATAGATATTGGCAAGATGAGCTGATCTAAAATGAAAGAAAGAAAATACCATGTGCAATCATTTTCAGAAAATACCATGTACAATCAATTTCATTGATTCCGTTGTACAATCAATTTCAGAAAAAAAACATGTACAATCATTTTTCAAAAATATCGTTACACAATCAATTTCAGAAAATACCATGTACAATCATTTTTGTATAAAATATATCCGTAACTGAACTTTTCAAACATCACTGTCAACACTGAAGATCGTATGCAACTTTTAATTTTGACCATTACTTGAATAATTCGATGTTTTGCTTTTGATTGAGAGCATCGAGGGAACATATGCTGGAGTAATACAAAAATACAAATCTTTAATACAACACGCTTACCGATGCCACTTCTTATAACCTCAGGTGGTTTGGGTTTCTCTCCAGGAAAGTCAGCTTCTGGTAATGTTGGTGTTTCATTTGGGATATTTGTTGTCATCTTTGATTCTGAATGAAATAGAAATATTATTGTAGTCGCATTTACATTACTGTAAGCAGAGCCTTCTGTGTCAGTTCATCTATTAGAAACAAGTTTGCAAAAGTAATCTCAAACTTGACATTTACAAATAAACTATCCTGCAAAGTCTATGTAATTTCATTAAACAGTATATGTACATAACACGCACTCTTCAACAACATACCATAGAATACACTTTATCATCTGAAAATTGTATTACCTTTATACAAGATAGCAAATGTTATGTCAGAAAACTTTTAAAACATAGAGGTATATATCCCTATATTGACAAGTTATATTCTGCAAAAAAAAATACAGTATACTCGTTCCCGATTGCAAGACAAGTATAAAAAGATATATTACAATAACTTAAACTCTTAGCATTGTCACAAATTAGACTTTATTTAAAAGAATCACACATAAATTGATAAGCTTTTAAAGCAAACAGCAAAGCAAATAATGGCCAATTCCCAAGCAAAGCAAAGACTCTTGTATCAGCTAGCTACAGCAAAGCTTCAGGACTCCTGTAACGACACAATTATAATTAAAAATTACAAAAAAACTTAAACAAAGGCAAATTGTCAAGGACAATAATTTGTTTTGTCACCTTATTCTTTTTGTCGTTTATGTGTTATGACATGCAGAAGATGTTTTCAATCGATGTTTTCTTTGTGCTGGTTTAGTGAATGCCTTTCTGTAATTTGACCAACCTACGTTTTTCAGTCTGATATTACGTATCCTCATTAATTGTAGTTAATTATAAGGCTCTGTATAATATTCATGATAATTGTTATCTGACTTACTTTAGACATTTTCTTCTGTATATAGAAGTATAATTTAATTTTGGATGTAACACGTCTTCTGATTGGCTGAAAGTGTTTTGTCTATCAGCTCATATACATAATGTTGTCATGTGGCGGTGACCTCATCAACTTTTTTATCATGATTTACTACTTTTTAAAATCAAATTATAAGGAATGACTATAATATTTGTTCAGTCTATTCGAGATAACCTAAAATGTGGTGCACTCTTTTTAAATAAACCGCTACGCGGGTCATTCAGTGTGCACCACATTTTGATGTTATTTCTTCATTTTGATGTTATTTCTTCATAGACAGAAAAAATATTACAGTCATTCCTTAAATATTACAAGACGGCGTTAAGCTAAACATTTATCATTGATCTGTAAACTCAACTATTGCCAAGAACTAGCACTACTCTTAAAATCTATGTACCTAAACACAATCCATAAAACTGCTGATTAAAAAAACAACTATATTCATCTAATTTTTATAAAAAAATATAATTCAATACTTACTAAAACGTGTCATGTTGTCTTCTTGGCGCTCCATAACTTGTGACGTCGTTGGTACTAAGTTTACAAATAATTCTGCGTCCGAGTATTTCATTATTGGTTCTATGAGTATACTATCAATAGTCGTTTTAAGATTAACAATCTCAGAAGGGTTTGCAAGTACTTCTTTCGACTTATGAATACTACTGATTCCATTGTTTATTAGACTTGGATATAATGAATAAGGCGATGTATACGAATAACGATCACTATCTAAATCCTTACTAAAATATTCGTTAGATGACGATTTTAAACCTGCAAATTCGTTAATAATCGATGTTGTAAGGCGATATTTTATATCGGTCAGTAGATTGAACACTGAATTAAGTTGAAATGTGGCTTTATCTTGTTCCCTTGTGAGAAAACTGTCAGGAGGCTGTGTATGAAATGGTGTTTCTAATTCCGTTAGCCAAGTTTTTGACACGGATGTTCCCTTAGCTTTCAAATACGTATCTAAAAAGGAAGATGCCAAAATATTATTCATCCACATCTTATGTGCATTAAGATTCTCTGAAGCTTCTAGCACAGTATTATCAACTGTAGATATTGGTACAGCTTTTTCATCTTTGGGTTCAAATGAGGAACTCGTTGAAGCATCTATCATCTTGTTTTCTAATCTAGAGATCGGTTGTACCTCCGTCGTGATTACCCTAAATTCATGTGTGAATATGATACCCGTATGTTTGTTCTCTTTATTGATTATTGGACTTGTTTTCAGTAAAGTATTACCGAATGTAGAGGGCAGTGTAGATTGAAGCATTTTGTTTTCATGTATTGATACTGTACTTTCTGCAGTTATTGTATTATCAAAATTAAATGTTGGTACAGCTTTCGTCACCATGACATCAAAAGCAGACACCTGTAATTGTTTCGGCGTGTTTTTCAAAACAGAAACAAATGTCTCTGCTACTGTATTTTGAAATTCAAATTGTGATGTCACTTTACTATTACTATCTGTAACTGCAAAGTTAAATGTAGTTTCCCTGATTATGCTTCTGAATGTTGGTAGTAAAGCTGTTGTAATTGTGTTCTGAAATGCAAAACCTTTTGTAGAATCATTTACTGTTGAACCAAAGGCGGTAGCTGATGTAAAATTCTTTACTATGGTTTCCAATGAAGTTTCTAGCATTTTTGTCTCAATGTTGTTTGCCTCTGTTCCCATACCCGTGTTGTTAAATGCAGATTTAATATTTGCCTCTGTCAGCATATTTTTGTCTGACGCAGTAGGGTCGACTTCTGGCAACGTGTTCTGGGATATACTTGTCATTTTCGTTGACAGTGATGGTTCATGTATTCCGTCGGCATAACTTTCTATTGCAACATTAGATTTAGGACTAAAATTATTGCTATCGTTTTCTTCAATGAACTCTGTATACATCACGTGACTTGAAGGAACGTTGAGTTTGCTATCGTTTATCAGGTTGACAGTGTTTGGTTTTGATAGTTGTATAATAGGTTTAAAGGTATGATTTATTAATTTTACGTCAAAGGCTTTATTTGGTGTTCTGTGAAGTTGTATGATTATATCGGTTTCGTCAATCTGTTTTAATTTATCGGAAGATGTGTGTAGAAATAGGGGACGCAACTCAGTTTGAAATACTTCATTATATGATAATGTGTGTGCTAATGTAGGATCATTAAGTTGATGTGTTAAATCTGTTGTTAATGTAGACTTTGGATGATGTGAGAAAGTTTCTATGTGAGTTTGAGTTCCCAGACTTTTACCTTGCTCATTTGTAAATATTGAAGAGACAATTGCATTGACATTGTCATCACGAAGGGATAACTTTGAACTGGTCGAATACAAAAAACTGGGATAAATCTTTTGTTGAAACGACATAGAGTTCAGCACATTATGTGTCAAGTTCACACCATCAAAAGACAAAAACGGATGGGTTGAAGTTGAGTTGATGGAGAAGTATTTATTATCTGTGTCGTATACTACTAGCGGTGTAATATGATCAATTTGAAAACTGTTTGTTTTCGTAACCATGGTAACAACTGGAGACGATTCTTCAGAAACTTTAGAAAAAGTTTGATACAAGCTTACTGAAGTCTTTGAAGGAGAAATATTAAGTTCATCACTATCAACTACTTGAAGTGAATTGAAACTGAGATCCACGTTATCCCTATTGAGTCCCTTTTGGGTTTCCACAGTTTTTAAAATTGTGCTTAACGGTTTTAAATTGATATGTTCTCTTGAAAGCTGATAAGTCGATAGTGTATTATTCAATTCGTATGCAGTCTGGGTGGTAATACTTTCAATATGCAGTTCTGTATCAATCTTGGTATCTTGGTTTGAAAATGCACCGATGCTATGATTTATTGATTTATATTTGTATAAAACAGATTTTGTAGACAAAATTTCCTTTCTCTTAAGGCTAATAAACTGTTTCACCCTGTTTAAATATACACTGCTTGGATATATTGTCTTATTTTCATCACTTGTTAACTCGCTTACATCCATGTATTTGACATTTGCTGAAGAAACATGACTTAACTCAATGTGCGTTCCAAGCATTGAAATACTAGTACGGTCCTCGTTTAAAAATGAAGCCCCTGATTTTTTTTTAGAATCCAAAACGTCACTGGCATGCATGTTATACACTGAGGTTCCGGTCATGTAATTGTAATATTTAAAACTGACCTCATTACTGCGGTTCATAGTTGGACTATTGCTAGTCATATTTAAGTATTTGTCATATGAACTAGTTTTCATCGAGAACGCAGTGAATATATTTCGCAGATCAGAAGTCTCTTTTAAATCGTTCAACTTTTTAGTCAAATTCATATTCATTGTTGGTAAAGTTGCTAAATGATCTGATATGTCGAAAGAAATTGGACGAGAACTATATGCATTTGACACAATACCAGTAGTTGAAATTGGTCTAGACAAACTAGACGAATAAACCACAACGGATTCCCAGTCATCATGGTTATATTTTGCATTAGCAGAAGACGATTCGCCAAATATTTTTCGGTGCTTTGTTTTCGCTACGCTAACTTCAAAATCTGACGAAAAAGAAGACTGAAGTCCATATATACCTGTAGTTGGTCTTGCATTATATGTCGCAGAGATTTGATCATTGATGCTCAGAAAAACTGAATTCATAATAGATTTTATCGAAATATTTTTCTCATCGTATCCTTCTAATTTGATTGGCTGTGAATCAATTGTGTCTGATTTCTCACTGTATATATTACTTTTTTGGTCATTTTGCTCTGACAATCCTTTAACAGAGACAACTGGTGCGCTTGACGATAATATCAAACTGTCTTCAACTGAATAATATTCCGACCTTGTATCGATAACATTATTAAACTGAATAGAACTAGCGACATCTGTATTTGAAATCGAAGTGGACAGTCGAGTATTTCCTTGGTTTGCGAGAATTTCTGTTTTTACATCGATGTCGTCCATTACGGGGTTATTTGGATTTAGTAAAACAGAACGCATTAAATCAAATAGAGGGACTAATGCAGTTGAAGTATATGATTGCTTCATAGAAAAATTGTCTAAAACATTCTTTTTAGCAGGTATATTAACCCTTTCTAATTTCAAATTGTTTAATCCTTGTATCGTGCTCATTTTAGATTCCGCAGTGTGTAGATTGAAATAAGGCAAGGAAAAAGAAGATAGCGCAGATGCAATAGAGTATGAAGAGAAAAGAGGACGAAGTTGTTTGCTTGTAGAATAGTTTGCTGCAAGCGCAGTAGAAACCAGAGAAGTCGCACTGCTTAAAGCCATCTTGGAATCTTTTAAAAATTCAATGCTTTGTGTAGAAATATCGACAATATAAGGAGAATACGACAAAATTTCCAAGGTAGCATCTGTGAAAGGAAAAAAAGAAATCTGGTGAACATGGATGTACCACCTCTTTTTTATTTGTGGCACTTATGCTTTAATCTAAAAATTAATGCGTGGTTTTATTAATGCAAATAATGAAACTGGGTGAGTATCGCAATTAATAATAAGAACTCGCATTCTGATACCTGATTCATATATCTGTATGCAACATTTTTTATGAAAACGCAATAGTTGACTTAAATTCTGGTTGGTCATGTCAAAATCGCTATCATAAATACCCGCACTTATTTATGAATTTACATACTAATAATACACTGAATCATATGAAAAATGAACTTTACTTTAAATAAATGAAAATCAAACCTGCATATGCTTAGAACAGAATTACCCTGATCTACATGAATAAATCAGAGATTTCTGCTTATGGTCAAATTATATAGCCCTACTTTAAAGCAATAGAGAAGAACAATTTAAAACCACTTGCAATTTAAATGAAACCTGATGTCCTGAAAAGTAAGTATTTTGTGTATGGATGTATCATCAAGTCGTCTAAGAACATTTCACAACCGATGCACACAATAATTGCCGTGTTAGTGTACTAAAGATTAAATATGTTATGTGTAAGTTGAAACTCAAAACACTGATAATGATCAATTAATTCATGAAGAACACTTTGATGTAGTACATTTGGAGCCTTTCTTCATTATAATGTATATGAGGAAGTTATTGTTCCCCTACCTGTTGTGTACTGTGGTTGTGTAGTAGTGTTTGGCCGAAGATCACGTGGTACTTGAATGTAAGAACCATTACATTTATCTACAAAATAAAGTAAAGATTCTTCCATTATACATAATACATGTAACAAAATCATTTGAACGTGGAATACATTTTGTTGGATCATTAATTTATACATAACGTCTTTCTTAACATTTCTATGGCCAGCCGTTTTACTATTTGTTCTAACCTCGAGGTATCTAATAAACTTTATAAGATATCTCATATAGTTTTTAAGATATCTTATATAATTTATAAGGTATCGTAATATATAGTTTATAAGATATCTTTTATAGTTTATAAAATATCTCATACAATGTTCTTTATGAGATATCTTATATATTATATGAGATATCTTAAATTTGGAATAAACATTTACAAATGTATACGGCTTGCCATACATATACATTTCTTTCGAATGCCATCTATTACCGAATTCAAAAGTTGAGCCGAGTATGGCTAACATTTGTATACTAGTAGATTGCAACTTTTACGACATATAGTATTGATACGCAAATGGAAAGGCTTGTGTGCACGTTGAACTGATTTAACTCGACCACGTGTTCTGCCTGCAAAATTTTAAAGGTTTATTGACCATGCGTTTTCTTCATTGTTTTTTTGTCTTTGTATGTTGTATGGTGTTGGTGATTGATGCTGTCTGTTTAATGTTCAAGTACGTTAAAAGTTGTTTTTTCTCCTGTAATTCCACGCGTACACGTTAAGTGGTATAACTCCACATCGTTTTCTATTATTCACGGAAATCGCCATTGCTAGCAAGCGTACCAAAAGAAGGAAGCAAAATAAAATAATTAAAATGTTTCCGATGATCCCTTACAATAGAAGCGGTATTCTATGAGATAGTGTGTATAAACATAAGATGTGGTATGATTGCCAATCAAACAACTCTCCACAAGAGACCAAATGACACAGAATTTAACAACTATAGGTCACCGTACGGCATTCGACAATGAGCATATTCAAGTCTAAATTGAAAACAACGTTTAAACCTATGATTGCGTTGGATAAAAATTTTTATACGTGTGCATGCAAAACAAAGGAGTCTAAATACATATATATGTATATAAGACACCAAATTGTAGTTTTATATATGTCATTTTGAAATATTAGTTCAAAGAATAAAAGAAGATATGGAATAGAGTAGCGGGTTATTTAAAAGTGTGCACCACATTTATGTGGTTATTTCGAATAGACAGAAAAAATATTACAGTAATTCCCTATAATTTACTTCTAAATTCCATTTTTAATGAGTAAATCAGAAAAAACGATCACATGACAAAATTATGTCTATGAGCTGATAGATAAAAAAATTTCAGCCAATTAGAAGACGTGTTATATCTAAAATTAAATTATTATTAACTAATAAACAAAACGACAAAATAATAATAAAGGTACCTAGGGGCAACATATTGTCTTCGAGAATAAAATGGTGTCTATGCAATATAGCATGCTCTACGTACATTTTTTTATATGTAAGAGAATGATAATCCCTTTCTTCATGATTAAGTACGAGCGTTAGCGAGTACTTATCATGATGAAAGGGATTATCATTCTCCTACAAACTTAGAATATTGTAAAATGCTCAAGGCTCAAATGATCTCTTGATTTGTTTTATTCAAGAATTTGTGTCATTGTCAGTGCAATGTTTATAACTAATGGATGACTTTTATGTATTTCATTTGTGTATTGGTCTTAGTGATGTAAGGACTAACTTTTAATTTGGGAAATTTTAATAAATTGTGTTTTAGACATTAGATGACACAACGTTACAGGGAAATGGTAGAAATTGTATAAGTTTCCTAATTGTGAGTATGAGTGTAAATTATGTAATATTTTAGTGAGGAATTATCTTTTTGTTTATTTACAGTTCAATTTAATAAATTCAAAATCAGAGTTACAACTAATTTGTATTCCACAGGCAATTTTATTCCAGCTCTTTACATCAAATACTACTTAGTTAACTAAAATTTAAATGTTCAAAGAACATTTCCTGTATGTACCGGTATATTTGAAATGAATATTCTTACTAACTGCGAATACAGTAAGCTAAAGATTTCGGTTATATTTAATTTTAAAAGTTTTTTATTTCTTTTTCTTCTCTTTAGCATTGCTTTGATATTGCTTAATTTTTTTTGTAATTTGAAAGTTCCAAATATTCACACAATTACACAAACGGTATCAAGTGTACTGCACAAGTAAACTTTAAACTTATTTTGATTATTTTTGTTTGTTTCAAAAGTAACTTTCAATCAATAATCCCAATAAATGTGCTTCGGGCAGTTGTAACTCATTTATAGACATTCTTTGTTTTGAACTGTAAATAGACCTAAACAAAAGGATAATCCCTTACTAAGAACATGATTTACATTCATTCTTCACAATTACGGAACACCAAATTCTACACTTTCACTGGTCGAGAGCACTTTGTGATATTCTAAATCGTCTCTAATCTTCACAATTGCTGAATAAATCCAAAAGAAAGTTTCAAAGATCTTTCATTACATGTAACACTAAATTTGGCAAATAACAAAATGCTTTAAAAATCTTTAGACAACCACTTAACCAACACAATACCATTTACATGAGTAATCAAAGTAACAATGATTGAACAAATACATATATATCTACATGTATTACTGTCACCTATGTCTTTGATGAGTTCTATATATATGTTTATAATCATCCTTTACCCTTTTTATATATAATTATGCAGATTAATCAATTTCAAAACATACATTTCACACCTGTAACTTGTAAAGCCATTTGATCAAATGCTTTAATGTGTTACACTGCGTTTAATAGTACCATTAACAGTGTGTTATTGAACGACAGATCAATGCATTTGTAAACAATTATTTGGAATGTAAAATTGAAGATTTTTTTATAATTCATGAACCAATCAAAGATACGAGGCTTATAATTTTGTAAGACAGACGTGCGTGTTTTCTACATATGACCAATAAGTGACACTCGAATCAAAACAGAATTTACTTGATAAATTATTAAAATTTGGTTTAAGAGACGCTTTTTCGTCTACGTAATGCCTCGTTCACACGTACATTGAATTCGAATTGAATTCGAATCGAATGCGAATCGAATTCGCTAATCGCGTTCACACACTCTTCTTTTTTAATTCGAATGGCTAAATCGCATTATCCAATTCGCATTAGAAATGCGTTTTTGTTAATACGAATTAAAAGTTAACGTCGTTAGGACAGTAAAGAGAATTTGACGCACATTGCAATTCGAATTAGAATTTACGTTTGGACGTTAAACGTTTCGAATGCGAATAAAACTAATTCGAATTAGTTAATGCGAATCGAATTCGAATTACGTGTGAACGCAGCATTAGACTCATCAGTGGATAAGGTCAAATCAAATATTAAGTTGAAAGTGCATTGAAAACCAAACACTTTGAAAGATTATAACACTTCCGAAACACTTTTAACATATTTTGTTTTATCGAAATTGAAAAGGGATATGACCACGTGTATTAATGATTTCATAAATGGAAATCGTGAACACACTAGACGGTCCCAACAGCGAAAGAACAAACATTTAATTTGCTTTATTGCCGTTCGTCATCACACAGTCACATAGAGACCTTCACAAAGATCAAAAAGCTCACATCACACTGCAAACTCAAGACGGTCCCTAATACCGCCAGATAGAAGCGGAATTATATCTTTATAACGCCTCATTCTGTGTACAACATCTGATAAGCAATTTCAGACAATACAAACTTACCTTGAGAACGTGTGACAATACGTACATTGCACTTTTGTTGATCTTTTATCGGATAATGAACTTTAAATGGTATATTTAAACTCTTTATAACTAATTTAGTATGATGAATTCAGTATCTGTGGTTTTGTTAGAGTAATAACGACATGACATTTACATTGCGAATTTTAAGTAAAATAAAAGACACAAATTACTAGTACCTTGAAGTTTATTGTAGACATTTATCAAACTTATTATTTTGTAAAATGTAAATAGAAGAATAGAAGATGTAGTATGATTGCCAATGAGACAACTCTTCAACAGATTACAAATGCGTAGAAGTTAGCAACTGTAGGTCACCGTACAGATTCAGCAATGAACAAATATAATTGAGAATGGAAACGGGGAATGTGTCAAAGAGACAACAACCCGACCAAAGAGCAGACAACAGCCAAGGCCACCAATCGGTCTTTAACACAGCGAGAAAATCTCGCACCCGGAGGCAGGCTTCACCTGGCCCCTAAACAAAAATGTATACTAGTTCAGCAAAAAATGGACGTCACACTTATCTCCGAAACATATAAATGAACCAAAATTTAAATAAAAAAAACATACAAGACTAACAAAGGCTAGAGGTTCCTGACTTGGGACAGGCGCAAAAATGCGGCAGGGTTAAACATGTTTTGTGAGATCTCAACCCTCCCCCTATACATCTAGCCAATGTAGAAAAAAAACACAAAGTAATACGCACAGTAAAACTCAGTTCAAAAGAAATCCGAGTCCGATGTTAGAATAGATAACAGAAGAAACTAAGCAAAATGACAATGATCAACATAAATTAACAAAGGACTACTAGCAGTTACCCTTCCGGAGCACCTGAGATCACCCCCAGTTTTTGGTGGGGTTCGTGTTGCTTAGTCTTTGGTTTTCTGCGTTGTGTCGTCTGTGCTGTTGTTTGTCTGATTGTCTTTTTATTTTTGGCCGTGGCGTTGTCGGTTTGTTTTCGATCTATGGGTTTGGCTGTCCCTCTGGTGTCTTGCGTCCTTCTTTTACTGACATGCCAGCTCCATTCCAAAGCAAACTTTCTTATAATTTCGCTTGTAATCAATAGATTTATCATAACATAAATCGTTTGCATTAACTACAAATTGTTTTATTAAGGTATTCTTGGAAACGAGCGTTTGTACACTTTTATGGTTAATAGACACTTTTTATCAAATAATGCACCAATTCAACTGTTGCAAACATTTTAGTGTTTGTTCTATCAGTTTATTATACATGTTATATGAAGTATTATTTGTAGTATTTTTTGCAATTCTATATAAATATATTAATCACAAAAGTTAACTCAATGAACCTCATTCAAAAGATTATAAACCACAACAACATTCTTTCTTAGAATTTGACATATGTAATTCAATTCTATTATACTTTAAGCAAAGTTTTAATAATGCTCATCAGCACAATGACATATAATATATATATGTAAATACAATAACTGATAATTAATGCATAACTGATAAATGAATTAATCATTATAATGTTTAATAAGTGTTTATGATCCCATAAACAGTACGTACGACTTTATAATGGCAACAATTAACTTCTATAAGCACAACACAAATTATCATTCGCAATATATATATATAAAGATCCGATGGATAAATCTGTTGTAGAGTTGTCACTGGTTCAGACGTACTTATTAATATAATTACTTCTGTGACTGTATCTTGCATTAATTTGTAGGATACTTTACAATAGATATTTCAGCTGATCTGTAACAATTCCATCTTCATGCCTTATATATCATGTACTGTATTACGACGCTAGATTAAAACTGACGAGGAAAGGTAACACCCGGACACAGAAAGCTTCATTTCTGTATTCTTTATCTTTTAGGCCACTTTTTTCTATTCTTTATACTTCTTGTCCATTATTCTCGATTCTTTATATTGTAGCACCTCATTATTCTCTATTCTTTGTTGTTTTTTTTGTCCATTTTTTCTATTCTTTATATTTTTGCCCTTTATTCTCTATTCTGTAAACCCCCATACACACCCTCATACATTAGGTTTGGACCAATCAGAACGTCCAAAAAGTAATATTCCCATAATGCAGGATCATTTAGACAGGGCAGAATTAAAACAGCTTGATAGATATTTAAAAACAATAATAATTATAGCTTACCAAGAGAGTATTCCTGCATTCGACACTGTAACGTTGACTGTGGAGATACCCAGAATTCCTCTGCTGTTAACTTCCGGAAAGGATGAACACATCGACATTTTCCTTTTACACATTTAGATGGATACTGGCAGCCTCGTTTTGTGCAGTCATCACCAAGATAACCAGCATTCGGAAGTTTACATCGACCATCTCTTGTATGCTCAAAAAATTCTAAACATTTACATACACCAGCACACATGGAAAATTTAGACAAACATTTGTCCGTCCTTGGATCACATCTTTCGCCATTCCGGATAGCTTAAAAACAAATAAACGTTTGTGATTTAATGTATTTCTGGTTCTTGTTTCAACAATGTTAATCCGTCATTTATCTTTATTCACACTTTATTTTAAACATATATTGTTTCGTTTCATTCAAATAATTGTATTTTGAAATGACATTCAGGTGAAAAATAAAAAAGAGAAAAAAAAAACAACACCAAAATCATGAGACTTATAAAAAGCACAAATCTTCTGTCAAATATTTGATTAAATAGGCTGGATAATCAATATAAGGGAGCTACCAATTTGATTTTTATGGGGGGGGGGGGGGGGGGGGGGGGGGGGGGGTGCGCTAGGATGAAATTTGAAAAAAATAGGCAGGACAGAAGTTTTGAGTAAAAAAAAAGGCAGGATGAGATTATTTGCAAAAAAAAAAAAGGCAGGATGACAATTTATGTAAAAAAAAAGTCAGGATAAACTAAAAAAAAAGGCAGGACCGAATAGAGTGAAAAATAAAAAGGCAGGACCGAATAGAGGGAAAAATAAATAGGCAGGACAAAATTTTTCATCCTAGCCCCCCCATAAAAATCAAATGGTAGCTCCCTAATGAAGAGTAATTAAGTATATATTAGATTTAAACCCCATAAAAATGTCCTGTAACAAGATTCCAATGTATTCCAGGTGACTTGCGTACACGATAAAGGTACTCGTATTCCAGTGGTACGCAATAAAATCGGCATTATGTTGACCAAATATGAGGGTGTGGTTGGGGGTTTACAGAATAGAGAATAATTGGCAAAATTTTTTTTTTTAAATGGAGAAAAATTGACCAAAAAATAAAAAGTAAAGACGAGAATAATGAGGTGCTTAAATAAAAAGAATAAAGATTAATGGGCAAAAAGTATCAAGAATAGAAAAGAATGGCCTAAAAAATTATAGAAAACAGAAATGAAGGACCCCCATCCAGAACCCCAAATATGACCATAGCGGTAAAGTTCTGATTAGAGAAAACGTATTCACATCTCACATCCATTTGAAATATATTCTTGCAATAAAAAATATCCTAGTAAATAGAATATTAATCGCTTTCCTTATGCTTAATGTTAAATTGGCAGGCAGCATGTATTGGTTAATACCATGATTAAATTTTTCTCTCACACATTTCTTATCGGGTAATTTGTATGCCCCCGTCGTCACCAGAGGGGGCATTAAGTGTTACCCTTGTACGTCCGTACGTCTTTACGTACGTCCAAAAATTGGTTTCCGTTCTCTAACTTTAGTTTTCTCCAACCAAATTTTATGAAACTTATACACAATGCTTATTACCACAAAACACAGATCCAGATCAAATTTGGATGGCGTCACTTGTACCGTTCTTAAGTTATGTCCCTTTATAACGTTATATGCAAGCCGGGGAATCATCTTTGTCCCATGGACGCATTATCCGTTTTTTTTTAAATGTTATTCTCTTGTAAACCCATAATGTAATCGACAATGATAAACACAAACAATATATAACAAATAGCTGAAAGAGTAAAAGAGAAGATTATTACTACAACAAAACACTGTAAATCTCGGTTTCGCCTCGGTTGAATGATTTTCCTGTGGTAAACATCTGAAACATTAATCTCTAGATATGCGTTATGTATTAACTACTTACCTCTTAGACAGAATTTACGATCTTCACTAGCAATGTACCCTTCATCACACAAACACAAATAGCCTTGGCAAGCATTTGGTCTGCATTTCGCATGCTCTGGACATTGCGAATGTTGTGTACAACTTGAGTACAGCTCACGTCCAATATCAAACAGCGTAACGGCAATAGGTACAATTGGTCTCCTAGGAACGAATAAGTGGGGAGGAAGTGGCATTGTTTTCTGTGTGGTGATTGGTTGAAATAATGTCGTTGTGTGTTGTGTTGTGATTGGCTGAAATTCAGACGTGTGTACTGACGTGGCAACATTTACACTAAATCTGTTTACGGGTGTCGTTTTCTGTTCCTCAGAACCAATATCTGATTTAGTGTTACCACTCATTAGGGATTTTGTTTTTTCCATAGCTGGTGTATCCTTTAGGATATTAAGTAAATTTTTACTTTTTATGATCTTCCTGCTTTCACTAGTTCGTGAGAATATGTGGAATATAGGGACGGTAGGAAAATTAGAATCACTGTTCGGATTTTCCTTCTTTTCTAATGATTTGTTCTTGGGCTCCGTATGGAGATTTGAAACACGTTCTCTAAAAATATGTTCTTTAGGAGTTGTTGTTATAATTTCAACACCTGAAAAAGACATTGGACTGACGTTTATCTCATATGCTAAAGAGGATTTATGCATAGAGTGTATTTCTGATGAAGCAGTTGTAGTTGAAATGTTACCATTTGTTTGTCCTTCACTCATCCGCGGTGTGCTCGAATGCAAAACTGGTTCATGATACATTTCAGACTGTGTTCTTGTATCCGACAGAGAATCAGTACCTGCTGTCACTGTTGGTGCAATCTCATTGGACACAAATGATGTTGATATCGACCGGTACGACAGGGTAGGCATTATATATTCACCTGATTCTGGCTTGACGTTGTATATTGTTGTCAATTTTTTTTCTTGCATTGGCAAAATAGATGAAAGTATCGAGCCACCTATTAGTTTATTGGTTGTATTTAATTGAATCGATGAATTTTTGCTTTCTTTTCCTTCTATCTTTATTTTGTCAGAAATTGTAAGATCTGACAAATCTCTGTTGTTAGAAATATTTAGATGAGATTTATTCTGTCTTGTTTCATACAAAGTCTTGTCAATACTGCTATAATTTCGAGTTCTTATTTCTTCATTTTCAAATGAATTACTATCAAACGCCATTGAAAGATTCACTGCCTGGTTTTGTGTAGTAGGTATAGATGTTATTGTCGTTGGCTTTTCCGTGGATGTTTTTGACCTTTTCGTGGTTTTTGTTGGCCTTTCCGTTGTTGTTGTTGGTCTGTTTGTTGTTATTGGCATTTTCGTGGTTGTTGTTGGCCTCTTTGTAGTTGTTGGTCTCTCCGTCGTAGTTGTTGGCCTTTTTGTCGTAGTTGTTGGTCTTTTCGTGGTTGTTGTTGGCCTTTTCGTGGTTGTTGTTGGCCTTTTTGTGGTTGTTGTTGGTCTTTTTGTGGTTGTTGTTGGTCTTTTCGTAGTTGTTGTTGGCCTTTTCGTGGTTATTGTTGGCCTTTTTGTGGTTGTTGTTGGCCTTTTCGTAGTTGTTGTTGGCCTTTTTGTGGTTGTTGTTGGCCTTTTCGTGGTTGTTGTTGGCCTTTTTGTGGTTGTTGTTGGTCTTTCCGTGGTTGTTGTTGGTCTGTGTGTCGTTGTTATTGGCCTTTTCGTTGTTGTTAGAGGTTTTGTTGTAGGTGCAATTGGTGTGGTCCTAATCATCGTTGTAGTTGCCTTTGTAGTTGTTGAGGCGGAAGTCGTTGATGTTGATGGTTGTTCGGTTGTGGTGGTAAGTTTCGTCGTCGGCTTTGTTGTGATCACTTCGGTAGTTATTGGTGATTCTGTAGTAGTAGTAGTTGTTGATGTGGTTGCTGTTGACGACTGCAATGCAGGTGGTATGGCTATGGCTGTTCCATTACATGTGTCTGAATAAGAAAGAATAATGAATTAAGTAAGTTTTTTTTCAAAACATTTTCATAACAAGATCATTATTGCAATCATAAATATCAGTCTTCAGGTTTTCTTTCTACAAGGAACATATATATTGACATATATATTGTTAGATATACTGTTTCCAGTTTCTACTATCAGAAGCTTACGCCTTGTAATGTCATTTATATTAGTAAGGAGACATTTAACTGTTTAGAAAATTATAAAAAAATGCAACAGAAAAGTATGAAAACACCAAACTGTCGAAATTAACTTCAAGATAATTTTGTTATATAGATGGATTTAATTCATCAAAGATTTATGTGGACATAATACAATCAAGAGTACATACCTGGAGAATATGATTCTCTTACACATTGATGTGGATGCATAGGATCAACCCAATACTCAAAGCTAGTCAATGGACGGTATGGATATTCACAGACACATTTGTTGTTTTTGCAAGCAGCAGGTGGATGACAGGGAGACAACTCGTCACATTTGTCACCTGTAAACCCCATTCCTGGAAGCTTACATCTACCATCTTCCGTAGGCTGGAATACACCCATGCATTCACAATGACCGAGACAGAATGCAAAAGGAGACATGCATATATTGTCGGTAAAACTACAGGTTTCTCCAACAAGTCGTCCTGAAACAGAAAACAAATATTGGTCGCACATTATTCTCTATTCTCTTTTGCCCATTATTCTCTATTCTTTTTTGTCCATTATTCTCTATTCTGTAAATCCCATCCGGACCCTCGTACAGACTAGTGTCTAAATGGTTTTTTTTTATGATAAACAAACCTGGCACTTCATATCTGAGAAATAGCCAATATATGCCCTCAATTTTATAATTCATTCATACATTTTGTATTATTCAAAATTATCAGTAAATTGTGTGTTCTACAAGGATCACCAGTCGTTCACCTTTCATATCATACCTTAATTGCTAAAATATATTAAATATGTACTACATTCCATTATGTTCATTTTTGACCGGGCCCGATTGGGTGGTGTTACATCTTACAAAGTCTATCCAAATTATTTTTGCAAAACATTCCGCTCAAGCCGGTGCTAGGAGCCGTCTTAAACTTGCAGTGATGTGAGAGTTATTGCTTGCTCCGTGTTGAAGACTTCGTTGTGACTTTGAGATGAAGAACAACAATAAACGTGCTGTTCCTTTCTATTTGTGTGTTTTTTGCTGTGAATGTACTGATTTTGTGCCATGGATGGATACCCCATATCCTTTGTTTTTCTATTATTTAGAATCTGTTTAGGTCCCTTGGTCATTACTAAAAATAAAACAATGTCATTATTGTTCAAACCAAAAAAACGTGGATCTTACGACGAGGTCATTGTTCATAGTAATGATAAGTAAAGGATAAATCATTTAATTGTAAAATACTGTAAAATTTAATTCAGAAATTATTGCGAAGTTTTTGTCATTGCGAAAATTGCGACTAGGTGAGTAATTAGATAATTAGAAGTCGCATTCGGATATCTGATACTTATACATTTGTATGCAGATTTTCCTGAAATCGCAATAATTAGTCTCGCATTTTTTGTCCATTCTTCAAAAATCGAAATAATAATTTCTAAATTTACAGTATGCAGAGTTTTTAATTTTAAAAGGGTACAAAAGACAACAAGGGGTCATCCAAAAACCAGGAATGCAGACAAAAAATATGTTTAAAAGAAAATCGCCGATAAGACAAAATTGAGTTAAGTTTCTAACAATCATCAATGATTTGATAGTAACTTTGTTTATAAATTCATACCAGGCTTTTGATTTATAATTTGGTCGCCAGACGCGCGTTTTGTCTACATAAAACTCATCATTGGTGCTCGAATTAAAACAATTGGAAGGAAAACAGTGGGGCATCCAGAAATGTTCATAAGGGTGGCCCACTGACTGCCATAAGAGGGGGCCTGCTCCAGTCATGCTTCAGTGGTCCCTATATAATCAATCAAATTTTTCCCACAAAAAGGGGGCCCGGGCACCCTGCCCCCCTCCTAAATCCGCCTCTGGAAAAATCAAATACGTAGATGAAGCGCCTTACAAACCGACAAAACGTCCCTTCAACTTTTAAACAAGTTGCGTTTTTTTTTTCCAATTTTCCCACTTACACCACGTTACAAAATACAATGTACCATTTAAAAAAAGAAGATGTGGTATGATTGTCAATGAAACAACTATCCACCAGAAGGATCTTCATCATAATTCTAAGTAAAGATCAGTATGTTAGGTTATACTTTTCGACACTAATATAAAGGGATGATTGTATGAGGTGTAACTTATTGTCCGTTATCGTTTGAGAAATGTATAGTCCAGATCGTTTCAAAGAAGTCATGATCTGTGAGACGATCATGGACAACAAAAACGAGCGACTTAAAGTACAACTAATCTTATAGATTAATATGAACTTAAATTTCATTTATTTCACTGATAGTTCTAAACGCGATGTAAGTCAAGCGTACGAAAATTCAATCATCACAACGTCATTAATGAGGGTGTGAATGGGTGTTTACAGAATAGAAAATAATGGGCAAAAAAATATAAAGAATAGAGAATAATGGGGTGCTAACACATAACGAGAAAAGAGAATAATAGGCAAAACGTATAAAGAATAGAGAAAATGGCCTAAATAATTAAAGAATACAGAATTGAAAGACCAGCCATCCAGACCCTCATTTATTTTCCCTACCAAATTCAAGCAACTATTTAGAATACACAAGCAAAACATATCTTTGTACTATAATGTATTAGTCACGTTGGAAGTCAGTATGTCATCAGGAATCAAAAGTGTATTTTGTCCTTGACGTTTGTATTACCTTGATTATAGACAATGAATAATGTATTATTTTTTTCATAAATATTTGCATATCTTTTTCTATCATTAAGAGGGCGATGCCGGGTCACATTTATGATATTGGTGGTATATGTATACATTGTAATAAATGTTAAGTTAAATATAATTGGGTCTCTTTCCATACTGCTTTAACCCTGAGTAACAGGCTATTTTAAAATTAATAAATAAATTAAGTAATATCAAAAGAGAGGCGAAAGATACCGAAGGGACATTAAAACTCATAAGTCGAAAATAAACTGACAACGCCATGGCAAAAAAAGAAAAAGACCAACAGACAAAAGTAATTAAATAAATTATATTTTCTTAATTGAAAAAGGGAAAAGTTCTTCATAATTGTTTCCATTATTCATAATATATTTATCCTTGAAAAAAGGAGAAATACATATATATGAACTTTAAAAATAAACATGTATATTCAATGGTCTTCATGATGATATCAAGGAGACAAAAAAACACATCACAATTTGTATTTGAAATCGGTATTCATTGTGAATCATTGATTTGTATCGTTTTTCTTTTTTAAAACACAATATAACTAAAATCTGCCGTGTATGAATCACTTTTACTTCAATTTGACGTGTATGAAACACTCTAACTACAATCTGCTGTGTTTGAATCATGGTCATTACTTAATCTTAAATGTGCAATCAGCCGTACATGAACCACCAACACAATGATTCGCTGAGTACTAAACAATATTAATGCACCCCGCCGTATATGAAACACCAAACATTGTATCTACAATCATGAAACACCATAACTACATTTCACCGAGTATGAAACACAAAAACTACAATCCGCCGAGTATGAAACACCATTACTACAATCCGCCGAGTAGGAAACACCATTACTACAATTCGTCTAGTATGAACCACCATAACTACAATTCGTCTAGTATGAAACACCATAACTACAATTCGTCTAGTATGAAACACCATAACTACAATCCACCGAGTATGAACCACCATTACTACAATTCGTCTAGTATGAAACACCATCATTACAATCCGCCGAGTATAAAACACCATTATTACAATCCGCCAAGTGTGAAACATCATAACTACAATTCGCCGAGTATGAAACACTATAACTAGAACTCGTCTAGTATGAAACACCATTACTACAATTCGCCGAGTATGAAACACCATTACTACAATCCGCCGAGTATGAACCACCATTACTACAATTCGCCGAGTATGAAACACCATTACTACAATTCGCCGAGTATGAAACACCATTATCACAATCCGCCGAGTATGAAACACCATTATTACAATCCGCCGAGTATGAAACACCAGTATTGGAATCCGCCGAGTATGAAACATCATAACTACAATTTACCGAGTATGAAACACCATAACTAGAATTCGTCTAGTATGAAACACCATAACTACAATTCGCCGAGCATGAAACACCATAACTACAATCCGCCGAGTATGAAACATCATAACTACAATCCGCCGAGTATGAAACACCATTACTACAAACCGCCGAGTATGAAACATCATAACTACAATCCGCCGAGTATGAACCACCATAACTACAATCCGCCGAGTATGAAACACCATAACTACAATCCGCCGAGTATGAAACACCATTACTACAATTCGCCGAGTATGATCCACCATAACTACAATCCGCCGAGTATGAAACACCATAACTACAATCCGTCGAGTATAAATCAACATTACTACAATTCGGCGAGTATGAAACACCATTACTACAATTCGCCGAGTATGAAACATCATAATTACAATTCGCCGCGAGTATGAAATATAATAATTACAACTTCTTTTTCATGTTAGTATAATCTGTGGGTTTTATATATTTAAAAAAAAACATTCAAACATATTCCTAATAGCGATGTAATTTAATATACCTTTCAGACATTTTGTTTTGTCATCAGTAGCAACAAATCCTTCATCACAGAGACAAGTATATCCTTGACAATCGTATGGACGGCAGGCTGAGTTTGTTGGACATTGAGAATGGTCTGTACATCTATTATACAAATCTAAACCTGAAAAGATAAATATGATATAAGACAAAAATACTTATTATTTATTAGGGACTGTATTGGGTTTACAGAATAGATAATAATGTGCAAAAACAGAGAATAAAAATGGAGAAAATAAACAACAACAAAAAAAGAATAGAGAATATTGAGTGCTAAATTATAAAGAATAGAGAATAATAATCAAATAAAGCAAAAATGAGGACCCCCCATCTTTACCCTCATGCATGATTTATTATTGTTTTCCCTTATTTCTTTAGTTTTCGCACCAGGTTGGCTTACAGTACAATTCCCCT